AATAAGTGAAGGAAAGTGGGGAAAAAACCCCAAGCCAATCTCTGAGCAGTGGCTACCTGCCAGATCAATCCCCTGTCCCCCTCAGTTTTTATTGTTGAGTAAGATGCTATATGGTATGAAATATCCCCTTGGTCATTTCAGGTCATCTGTCCCAGGTGTGTCCTTCCCTGCTTGTTGTACACCTCAGCCTACTTGCTGAGGGGGCAATGTGGGAAACAGAAAAGGCCTTGATCTGTGCAAGCACTGCTTCGCAATAGCCAGTGTGTTACCAACGCCGATTTAGTCACAAATCCAAAACACTGCGCCATAGGAGCTGCTAGAAGACAGTGGACTCCATCCCAGCAATGCCCAGCACAACATTATTACTATTGTACAAAGCACAGTAAAGCTTAAAATTTTCCATAACTAATATCAGCCATTGCTTCTGCCATGAGATCTGCAGCAGCACAAGACTGAAATCCAACAATACATAGCTACAGTGCTAGCATCACAATTTGTTTTGTCTTCAGAGCAGTAAGTTTTATTTTACTACAAAGAGTAACAATAGAGTGTGTAATATCTACATGGGAATTGCAACAATAATTTTAGGCACTGACTTGGTCACACGAGATTACATGGGGCCATTGATTTTTCTTTCAATTCCAGGATCAACTACTGTTAGTGCTTTTTGGGATGTAAAGACCTTACAAATGCAGTGTCTGTTTATCGCCACAGCTTCTTTGAGTGTTTAATTAAATATGAGCTTTTAAATGTAAGACCACCTTTGTCTTTATACATCTCAAAACTGTCAAATGATATAGTTCTAAGAAGTGATTGTGTTCTGAGACCAAAATCAAAAACTATTATCTGAAGAATGAATATTTTTGGTTGAGAAAATAAAAAAGCTTATAAGGAAGATGTGTTAGAACTGTATGCAACCCAGTAGATGTAATATATACTGTATAACCATATGGAGTTGGTAGATAGCACAGTTGCTACTGATTAAAAAGCACTAAGTCCTTTAAGATCATGTTGTTAGAATTTAAAGCTTTTTTCTTTTTCTAGTCAGACCAGTAGCAATTGCACTAGTCTGACAAGATGTGTTGTAGATTTGTTTTCAGGAATTATTCAGGGATTCTGATTCTAGTTGGCTGGTAGCGGCTAAGTGTGTCCTACATTAATAACTCTGACAGTAGTAGCATCTAAGTTTAGAAAATTTTTCCTAGAACTGACAACAAAGAAAAAGAGAAAATATCAAATCCTGTATTACTAATAAAGGCATTGTTATCATATATCAGTATAGTACTGAAGTAATATTCTGCATTGATTTCATTGCAGGCAGTTTGTATCACCTATGTGTGCCTATAAATTTAAAACCAAACAATTCTGAAGTACACAGTGGGAAATGTTTTAGTTTAAAATCCTACACTTTGCTCCAGAATGCATTAGATTAATTTCTTAATCAAGGAATGATATTATACTGGCTTCAGTACACTCACCAATAAAACCTGTGTTGGTTAACTCTTAGGTTATTGTCATTTTCGGTTTGGAAATGGTTCTTCCTCATTCAGTTAAAGACCTGTGTGGCTTTGAACATTTCCATAGTAAAACATGAACTGACATATAAATTAAATTACTAGTAAGTAAACAATTTATCACATGAATACACTAGTATATGATGGATGAGTATATATCAACAGTAAAAGCAAGTTAAAATCATAGGGAGGCTGTCATTTTTTAAGTCACTTATCCAGTGAAAAATATATATCAAAACAGTATTATTATAACTTAATAATGTGAAGAAGGCAGGTTCAAAAATAGCTGGTCTCTGAGAGTCTGATTTGAAAGTCCATAAAGTAGCCTTATTTTTCACATATGGTGTATATCTCACATATGCTTTAGTGTATTGGAACTGCTTAGGGAAAGAAGGAATTAAAGAGCAAATCCTCTATATGTATGATTTATTCTGATTATATATAACATGTATGCTTGCATATAAAAATCTATTAGTTATAATTATCTTTTTATTTTTGTTTAAACTTTATCCTTTTTTGTGTTTTTGTTTTTTTTTTTTTAATTGTAACTGCTGCTTTAGATTCTTCAGGGTCTTTCTGGTATCTTTCTTTCTGGAACTCTGAACTAAAAGACAATCACAGTGGAGTTGCAGTTTCTGGATTTCACTATTGCTATTGCTGTCAACTTGTTTATTCGTCATGAACCTCTTTTAGAGTTTGGCTACATCAATAAAATTTATCCAATAATTATAAGACTGTTGTCTGGCAATGTTTGTATGTTGCCTGAGATGTTCAAGTGAATGATTAACTTTATTATCATGCTTTTTGTTTGCCTGTGCTTGGCTATTTATCAACAGTCTTTACATGTGGCTTTGCAGTTAATTTCCTTGATATTTTATTCCTTTAATTTACATTTCCTCTTTGCACCAGTACACAAATGTGCACCTATGTCTGAGAGACATGTCCTTACTTTTAAAATTTGTGAAGCTGTTTCAGTTTGATTGACAAAGTACAGTTGAGCTTTTTTTTTTCCACTGTCAAACACATCTTCTACATGTTGCAGGAGCACATGTTGGACCATTTCAAATGCTACAAAAACATGTTGTGATTTATCTGTAATCTTTTGTCATATGATGTGCTTTTCTACTTGGGGCTCTCTCCTTAGTCTATTTCCTTCTGTGAGCTTGGTCCAAGTTGCTCTAGCTCCCTGCCTATAACATTTCAAGTTTTGTCATTGCTCTCAGCTCTGTACTTGCAGACAGCTCTATGTACAAGACATTTTGTTGTAAATGCTGTGGATTGAGGGACCCACGCTTGAATCAGAAAATGGGACAAATTTATTTGTACCTCCTCTCCTCAGATTTATGGTAGGGTAATTTTCTTATTAATAGTTGCATTTTAGCTAAATACAGAAAAATGTTAAGTTGGAAAGTAGAAAATGAGAATGAGATTAATTTGTTGTGCTTCCTTTGAAATATATCAGCAAATGCTCTCTAATCAGTATTTTGAATACACTAGAGACTGTAGAATACTTCACCCCAAATGCTAATAAACAGGCTTCATAATTCTACAGTCAGTTTCTGTGACATGAAGGCTTTCTGCAGAAAAACAATTTTCAGGAGTTAATCAAATACTGGTAAGAGATAGTTTAATAAGATGAGTCCCACATACAATGATCGAAATAAAACCTTATTCTCTCATTTTAAACTCAGCCAAGGTGTCTGTGTTGACAATCACAGTTCTGCTTGAGTCATGGAAGTTGAATACGCTAGGAGGATCTTCTGACAATGAGTTACTGCTCTTGTGCCTCAGCCAATAATTTTTAAATAAAATTGTCTTGTTCTGCTTTTGACAAAATGTCTTTGTCATAGTTACATAAATATTGAAACAAAATAAATGCAGTTATACAACTGATGATTTATACTAATTCCTAGTGTTATTTCACTGAACCAGAGAACTTTAGGAATAGAGAGGCAGGAATTTGAATCATCAGTTCTTTGTTGTGAAGTTTGGCTCATATTCAGCTGTGGAAGGTATTATTCAAGCTCAGTACTTTTGTGGGATATTGGGAAGCAAAAATGCAAATCAGGTTTGGATTCCATTCAGCTTTCATTCAGATCAACAAAGTCTTTTCAGCAGAATGCTTCATAACTTTTTTTTTTTTAATTCTGTTTTTAAACAAACAAAGGAGAGTGGCCTCACCCCTGCTGTTTTGTTGTGTTTTTTTTTTCTCTTAACGGCAAGTACAATTTTTTTGTCTAGTCATCTCACTGTTTTTTACTTTTCCTAGATTTTTATACCAGCTTTACTAAATCCTGGTAATCCCTTTTCTTCCACTCCAGATAATGGTTCTCCTTTCCTATAATTTAAGTTTTTCAAACAGTTTTAATAGTAGGATTCTGGTTTTGTGGAATATTTTTTTAAACTGCAAGCGTCTTTCTGGCTAAGTGGTGTATACAACATTTCAGAAATGATCATAGAAAAATTCCCCTTTATGTTTTTGTTATTGCCCTTATCAGTCACTAGTATTAGTAGTATTGGTAATACAGTTTAATGACACAGCATTAGCAGCAGCAGACATCTGATCAAGCTCTGTTCTTACCTGAAACTAACTAAAAGTCTTTAATAGCAGAAATGAGATCTAAAATTGAGGCATCTCTTGGCACCCCTGCTTCAGACCTTGTCAAAACCAGGACTAAAGAACAATTGCAGTCGTCGCTGTGTGGCACTTGAGCTTTCTCCTGCTGCCTTAGTTGGTATCTATCACCCTTGCAAAAAGACTGTCTGGCCTGGCTAGGCCTTCTATATGGGTCAGCTGCATAGAAAATACAGCCCTTCCTATGCAAGCCTTGAATTAGAATACAGTGGACTTGTATGCTCCAAGGGCATGCTGCTTATCAACAATGGATAACCACTACTGTGATTATTTATTTTACAAATTTATAAATGTTTTTCAAATGTATAAATCCTGATATGGTTTATAAATTATATCAGGAAGAATCAGTAGCCAGGACAGTTTTGAATTACCCTGTCTTGGTGGGAACCAAAATTTCAGGTTTTGAATAAAGAGTTATAGTGGTGATTCTTCATGCAGTGAGGTGTGAATAAGCTTTAGAAAGATCTCTTTTTGAACACAGTAAAGCCTGACACTTATGTTGTTATTTCAAGAACATTTTTGATAGCCTGGATCAGGAAACAATTTTTAATTGATTCTGCAGAAGCTGCATTGTCTTACTACTGATGGCATGGTGAATACAGTTATTTTGCTAAAAGACATTTTAAAAAAATTTACTTATATTTAAGAACATTTTCTGTTTTAATGTATTAATATTTTGTGTTCTAAATACCATTGTATTTAATATTACAGCATGCATCCTATTGAACCAATAACATAGAACAAAGATAATGCCCATCTGAAGGAGCTTAGTCTAAGTGATATTGTTTTTTCCATAGTGTTTGTACTTGAAGAAAAATTGCAATGGAGTATTTTTTGCTTGCATCTTCCAGGCTCTAACCAGAGAGTTACAGCACAGTGTACAAGAGCTAAGAACAAAAATCAAACAGGCAAAAAAAATGGGTGAAGACAAAAAGGGTCTTTCCCAAGAGTCTGTTCACTTGGCAGCATCTATCCTTAATGTTTCAACAACTGATCTTCAGGAGATATTAGAATCAGAAGATGATGAGGTAAGTTATTTTAAGTACTCTTCAGTTAAAAGGGGCTAGATCAGAAGATACTGTATATTTCTATTCTTGAGGAAAAGGATTTCCAGGTGAAGACTGGAATTTCATTGTGCAGCATCCAGCACAAAAAGAACAGAACAGTTGGATTTAAATAAAAGGTGGGTTAGAGACTCACAAGGTGGCAAGACTTTGGGCATATATAAATAAAATATAAATACAGTGTTTTGAGCATGTAGATGTAGAGATATTATTTGAAAATCCTTAGTTTCCTTTTTCATCACACTGTTTGGCAGGGTTATGCATTTTAAATAGACTTCTGCATTAATGAAAACAAAATCAGAATGTGTCTTGCTGTGCCAGATTGATTCCGTTGATGCTTCCTTTCTTGAATTGTGATACCTATTAAAGGTATTTCTAGTAGACAGATAGTTTCTGGGAGAATCCATTGCCTCTTTGTTGATTCTATCATACATTTTGCTATGAAGTATTTGATAGTGTTTAATCAAATCACCCTCTATTAAATAGATACAGTAATAGGATTTCTTATCCAGATTTATTTAGGCCTGATCAAATCATACATGAAAAAGCCTGTACACTTACTTTAATAAGGGCATCTAGAAGTTGACCACAGTTGGCTGGAACAGTATTCTGGTGATGACTTAGGTTTAGCCTTACTAGAGCTTTATTTTACAGAAGTCATAAAAGGGACTTTTCACATTGGTTTTATTTTTCTCGTTTTAGGAAACAGCAAAGACAAAAATGGAATTTGAAAAAGATAAAGAATGGCTGCAGTATATACAGAAACTTCTTGAAGCAGAGGTGCTAAATTTATATCTTCCTTTAATGAATTATAATTTTCTGTTCTGAGTAGCTTAGTGTTTTTAGGTTGTAATTAATCCATTGACTGTGTAAGTTGTTACCATTGATGGTCCCAAACTATTCTGTGATAAGGCAATGTAAAATCCTTGTTTTGTAGCATTTTGGTTTTATTTCTCTTAAAATAAGAGTCACTACATAAAACTGAAGAGATGTTAACCAAGGATTTGTGATAGCTAACTTTACAGCTGAAACCAGTGAAACAGTGCTGGAGAAAACCGGCACACATCTTGGCAAATGTGTTAATTGAATTCTTGAAATGGTGTGTAATGCTCGCTAGAGTGAAAAGGATCCATTCTGTCATACCTCTTAGGAAAAAGAGATTTTTATTATGTGCCTTTAAAGTCAGTAGTTGATATGGACACCTGAGGAGTTCATGGGTTTCAGTGACCTTTTACTGTGGACCTGTTTCCAGTCAATTCATGTTTTCCTCATAGCCAGACAGCTGTTTATTATCGTGTCTTCTCGCATTCTCTACAATATTTTCTACTGAGACCTCGAGCAGCTTGTTAGTGGGAAGTAAATATTGATTTGGCATCCTGTCAATGCAGAAAGAATGAAAAAATTTCCACCAGAGGCCCCTCAAACATTTTCCTATCGACATTTTCTGGGCAGAGAGGAAAGCTGCATAGAGGATGACAAGGCTGAGACTAGCAGAAATCCCTGAGGGGTCCATTGAGACTGCTGCTGTGACCTGTGTGATACTTTTTCTTCTCTTTCAAGTCTTTTTTTTAATACACACAGAGTCTGCTGGGATGCTCCCCTCTTGTAAGTGATCAAGGGCAGTTTATTGGCAGGTGAGAGCCCTGCTTTTCTAGCCATAGTCAGCTTTTGTTTGGACATCACTGACAACATACACTGACTCTTGAAACTTTTCCATTTTAGTTGTCTCCTTTATTCATATGATAGGTAGCTGATGTCTGAAAAGAAATAGAATTTGATTTACAAATCCAGTGTTTGTAATGTGTATACACTAGCATGGTTCTATTAGTGATGTAGTTCATTTCAATTAAGAATGTGAATGATTGAAAATATTTTGAAAGCCATTTCAAGGGAATACTCACATTCAGATTTATATATTTTATCATTAATAGCTTTTGTGTCTACATTGTGTCCTATGACCAGATTTTTAAGAAATTACAGTTTTTCCCTCTTTCATTATCAAAACTTACTACCATTAAGACTGCTGCAATGGAGAAGATGGAAATATCGGTTTTCTTTTACTGGTTTTGTCAGAAATAGTGACATTTTAATTTAACATTATTTAATTAGTGTTACATTTAATTCAGCAGTAAAAGCACAAATATTTCTATTTACTAAATTGCCTTCATTTTAAGAATTTTTTTAAAATCTGTAAATTTCAGCATTATGTCCGTATTATGGACACTAAAATAGGAAACAGATTCGTGGAATATGACAAAGAATTACTATTCTCTTTCTTGTTGTCATTCTTTGTTAAATCGTTAAAAAATCCTAAGCAGAATTTTGTCACATGTCTTCATCTAATATAGACAGATGACAAAAAACAGGACATAGAGAGGGAGGAGGTATGCCTACGTAACCAAATATATTAGGATTGCTGATGTTAGCTAAGGATAGAGGAGCTCATTGCTCTTTAGCCATATAAGTATGTGTACAAGTTAATAGTGGTTTTCAGTGATTTTTGTTCCATCTTACAGCATTCCTCAGGAGGAGCTTTGAGCTTCTTGGCAAACCGACCATCTTTAGAATTGAAAGGGAATTAGTGCTTTTTTGGAGCAACCAGCTCTGCTTTTTATTTTTGTCCATGCTAAGTCACATGGATGAAAATTGCTGAGATTTCTTGGTATTCTATTTGGGAGCAGCTCACGAAAGAGCTCTATGCCCTTTAAAATGCATAGTTCATATTTTGTAGAGAGTTCAGTTGTGGTTTCCTTTAGTAGGCATTGGCAATATTTCTGATCAGAAAACTAAAATTCATGGTGAGATAAAAGCTTTCTGTCAGGACTTTGCTCATAACAGACTGCTCAGTGTTACAGTTTGGCAAACCGCATACCTGTTCACATCTTGCACAAAGATGCAGGCTTACACTTGTCTGCTATTCCTGAGAAATTTTGTTCAGTTGAAAATTGCATCAGATCACTTAATATCGCAGTTTGATATAGTGTCTTTTTGTGCCATTGAGCCAGGACTTTGGAACATAATTGCCCAGCAGTATTGATTTAATTGCCTAGGTTTATTTGTGGACTCCTAATTATTGACTGGAGGTAAGTTTAATAGAGAAACCTTTATGAACACTGGGAAACTGCTGCTGTTGCTGTTATACATAATGAACTGCATCATATCCCTTTAGATCATTCTTCAAGCTAATTTTATTCCACTGTGACAGTACGATAACATTTAAAATGTCATAGACATTTTATTTTTATTACTGACATACGCCATTTTACTGCTGCTTTAGAATTTGGGAGGGAGAGAACTGAGGGAAGAGACTAGTTGCTTTTAACTGTCATTTTATATATTCCCCTAAAGTGTAATGATAAAGCATAGCACACCTCCATTTTACATTTTATCTGTACCTTTATTTTTCATACTGTTATGTCCTGAAAAACTTGTTCATTTCTGACAGCTTTACAAGAATGTTAATATTTCAATGATAAATATTTTTGCATTGCTGAGGCTCACTGACAGCAGAGTTTGTGTCCTTATTTTATCAACTACTATAGAAACACATGGGGAGAAACTACACCACTGCTAAGCTGCTTAGATTTGATAGAGACAACTCTGCATCAGGATGTTATTATGTAAATAAAAATCATAGAATCTGTTCTGAATTGTACAGACCTGGTAAAAATAATTTGTTGTTTAAACCTGTCTTGGATGGCCAACAAGTGTTTTTTCAGATGCCTTTTTTTATTTGTACATTAACACCCAATGACTAGAGTGTTCACACTGAAGTGTAAAAATGAAACATCTTAATTAACTGCCGTTAGGATAAAATGTAGAAATTTCTCTTACCTATGAAGAACCTGTATGTAGAGAGGCTTCACAGGAGCGCGTGCAGGTATCTGCTACCTGCATGGGGGTGTCCAAGTCATGTGTAGAGACGTAAGACTGGTTATGCATTAGTAACTGGACATGGGAGAGAGAAGCTGGGAGAGGTATTGTGTTATAGACCATTGAGGTTTTAGCAGTTCATGGTGTTTGGGAGAGGAAGGAACTGTTATCTCAATATGTACGTGGGTTTACAGCTTGCATGGCAAGTGATAAGGCTTCTATCTGCTTTCCTCCTCACATCTGGGTGTGTATGTAGCACTCTCTTAAAATCATTAAATCATTAAAATTATTATAATAATTTTAAAAACTGTCCAAAACCCATCAACCTTTTCTAGCTTTTTCCCATCATAGGAAACATACAGCTAAACCAAGAGGATAACTTCTTTTCACATAACTTAGGCAAGATTTCTTGTACCAGCCTAAGCTTTCATTCATTATGACTGATTGTAAGGAACAGCATTTTGGAACAATCTGTTAATAATTTTGCGAGTACAGCATGTTAGCCCAATACAGATTACTGCCTAAAGTCTCCAAGAACTATTTTTTAAGAAAATACAAATAATCTACCTAATTCTTCCGAGCACTGAATCAAATGACAGCATTGATTTAGCTTGTCCCTTATCAGATAGACTGTAGCACCTGCCTTCGCTCCCTCCACATGTACTTCTCAGGGCACATAAACAAAGCTGCTTAATAAAATCTTCCCTCTCATGACCTCATTATGAATCTAAAAATCATATTCCAATTGTGTAAACTCCCTCCCCTCTGTTCTATGGGTACTTTCTAGGTATGCATATAAGCCATTTCTAGAACAGGGTTTGGAACAGTATATTCACTATTCACTGGCCGGGGTTTTCCCAGCTGCTTATTAGGACTTGCACTGGCTTCTAAATACAGATTTCCTCTGGTGTCATCTGGGAATGTGCACTAACAACTATGGTTGTTTCCTTTCAGATTTCTTGGATTGGAACTTGTCTGCTTTGCTTTCATTAAGTCTTTCCAGCCTTTGTCTGTCTTCCCTTTGAACAGGTCTCTGCTCATTGCCTGTCCTCTGCTAGCACACACACATATGTATTCACCCATGCACAAACACACCTGCACACAGTCACCACTGCCACCATCGCCAGGTGCACCAGTGCAGTCTGAACCATATCCTGGGCACCATTAACACTGGTAGCAGACCATCAGAAGGTAACCATTGCAAGAATAAGAGCTCAGTCCCATGCATTGACAATCCATTATGGTATAAATCTGTTTTATCTCACGCACACAAACAAATCACTTGTCCTAGACTGAAAACAAGGGAGAGATTGGCTTGATTACTCAGTATAAGAATACAAACGGGCACACATATATTTATATAATCATGTATATCCAGCCATCACAAAGCAGAATGAACAAAGATCAATAGTGAAGCATTTCTCTAATTTGTTTTGTAAACTTTGGCTTTCAATTTGTAGTGAAATTAGGTGGTTTTGGCCACCTAATTTTCTGAGTTTCTTTAGTTTTATTTCAGGCTATTCTTTGTGATTCACTTAATTTGAGGCATCTCTGCAGTGTATTTGGATAGGATTTGGGGGCAAATGTATTATACTGAGGAGATTCCAAATAAATGTAACCACTAATTCCTGTATTCCATAAATTAATTGTTTGATTTTTATGTTAACACATGTTAGACTTTGTGAAGCAGAGGCCAAGTTATGCTGTACTCTGAATGGAGATGCTATGTCTCATGAGAATAAAAACATTGCCTTGCATCTTTGTGTTTTCAGTGGCAGATCAGTGCATGTTTATGCCCTTGTGTTGAGTGAGATTCAGTTATGTGTAAGGTTGATAAATATTACTAGGTTTTTTTTTCAGAAGGGATCTTCAAAAGATGCATACTCAAGGTTCAAATAAATAGGTGAGAGAAATAAAAATAACTATCAGAATTCCTGACTCTTTAGGATCATATTACCTTACAGTTATCCCTACACCAAGGTATCTGATAAGTTGTGTAAGAAATATGCCGTTTCATTCATATGGCTTTCTAGTATCAAAGAAGAATTCTGCAATTCTGGCAAAGATAAATAAATAAAAACTTTAAATCTTTGTGTAGTTTTCAGTCTCAAATCTTCTGAATTTATGTAAGTCAGTTAAATACTACTTCTCTTAAAGCATACCATAATGCAGATAAATTGGTTATGGCACAGATAACGAGAAAATACTTGAAGAAAGTATCATTGTATGTTAAAACATATAATTAACAGTGGTATAAACAGGCTTTACACTCCTTAGGTGTGCGCTTAGCATTCATTGAACTCCCAAAGCCTTCACCAAGCATATGGCTGCTTTGGAAGCTGGGATGAATACTTCGGAGTAGAGACATCTTCAACGCTTGTGAAGTTCTGGGGAGAAATGTAGAGAGAAGACTCCCAGGATAGTTACAGAGCCATCAGTAAATGTAAACCTGACAGGCTTCTATTAAAGATGAAGACTGTAGAGATCATCCAGTTCTGGGTGTCTGTATGAAAAGAAAACCAGATAAAAGCATGCAGCACTTCCTCTGAAACCAGTAAATGATGAAAGAATGACATAATGTTCAACTTTCAAATGCTCTTGATTTAAATGAATGATTTAAATGGAAAGAGTTCTTGAAAGATCACTTTGCTATGACATGGAAGCCACAGAGAGTAGTGAGCAGCAAGTAAAATATAGCTAGAATATGAGCCAGAGACATCAATAAGGAACCATTCATCTCGGGCACAACATTAAGGAGGTGAAATGTATCAGAAATGAATGTAGTCAAGCTGGGCAAGAAGAATTAGAGACTGAGGTAATGGTATAGTGTTCTTGTAAAAAACATATTTAGACAAGGAGGGAGAGCAATTAGAGTGAACAGGATGCTGGAGTCAGTGTTTTTAAAGCACAGTAGCAAGTAAGTGTCACAGAATTTCAGATAAAATTATGTCTTATATTACTCTGAATAGATTTGTGCTCAGTGAATTGGATCCCTCTATTCCCCAAGAAGTCATCACAATAGCGTACAGGAGAAAGCTGACAGGTGTAGACGACTACTAGAAAATTCTTACCATAGACAGAAGTTATTTATGACAGACGGAGACATGTCTGGCCAACAAGTACCAGCCCTTCAAAACCCACATCCCTGTAGAAAAGGAAAATAATGCATATTATCATCCTTCTTCTGTAACTGCAAAGTGAGAAATGTGTAGGATTGCCTCCTTCATGATAGATGCGTGCTATTAATAAGGTTTTCCTTGCTAACATTTTAGATTTTTTTTCCTGACTTGTCAGTAATTATAAATATCAGTATATAGATTCATATCTGTGTGTCAGTTCAGACATTACACCTACATTTGTATTTGATGTATTTTTATATCTGGGGTGGTTTTTTTGTTTGTTTGTGTTCTATTTTTTTGTTTCATATATCTAGGAAACAGGTAGTACTCTATCTGCTATAAATACCCTACAATTTTCTCTTTAAGATGAAAACAGAAGTGAAAAAATAAAATCAGAGCAGCCATATTTGAGTGTGGAACCAGGGGGTGGTTCTAGATGTGAAAGTATTGCCTTGAACTACAGTTGTGAAAAGCAGAGGAAGCTGGTGGTTGGCCTGCTCAACCAACTGCTATCTTTTACCTAATTTATTCCTGGTGGCATTATTAAGGTAAAATTATATCTCCCTCTGGTATAAGCATCATCTGTTACTTTTGATATGGGACTGACTCGTCAGTCACTGCTAGACTCACCAGGAGTTCAAGAAAGCTGACAGAGCTCTGTGAAGCTGACAGAAACTTCCCAAGGGTGAACAAAAACTGTTCTGCTCTCCTCTTGTGCAGCACCGACCACTCTCTGGGTGGAGCTGCAATGACTCGTGTTTTGTGCCACTTCCAAAAGTACTTCCCAGCATAGAGTGAATGATGCCCCAGGACTGTGAAAGAAAACCTCCTTCAGTGTTAAAGCAGTGACACTGAAAAAATATTCCAAAGCTCGCTCTTTGAAGACATCAGTTGTGCAAATATGTCTTTTGTATTGAATGAGATATAGAAGAGGTTTTCACTTTTCTCTCAAAATATGTAAATGTCTTTTTTTGGTATTGTGTTTTAGAGGAGCAGATGTTAATGGCAAAACGCAATCAATAGAACTGGAACTTAGGAGTTTTGCTTTGGTTTTTTGTTGGGTTTTTTTTTTTTATTTACAAGTTTTCACATGTGAGTCTAAGCAGTTGCTGCAGCACTGAGAGCTGTACTGGTAGTTCTGTCTCATCCTCCTGAGAGTAGTGAACATACACTACCAATTCTGCATGCCCTAGAGATGACTGTAACCTTTTATTGATCAGCTGATTGAAGATAAATGACAGAGATGCTGGTACTGCAGTTACATCATTAACATGGTCAGTAAAGCATGAATTGTTCAATAAGGCGTTTATCTTTTTTCATTTTACTCTGTTCTTTTATCATTTTTATGATAGCAAATTTTCAGACACTAAACAGGCAGGTGAACTTTAAAGATCAGATGTACGCATGTGTGGTAGTTGTCAGAATTAAGTGAAGTTTAGTGATTTAAAGGTACTTAATAAATATGGGTTTTTTTCTGTATGAAGAAAATATAGTTCAATGATAATTTTTCTTACCCTCTTTGTTTTTCAGTTTCCTTTTGCCTCTTATTTAATGGATGCCATACTGGAAAAATTAAATGAGAAGAAGAAACTTGTAGAAGAGTACAGTTCTCTCGTTAAACATGCTGGTTGATATTGCTAAGACCTATGTTTGCAAAGTGTGACTAAAATATGTGTGCTGTTTCCTCATGTCTTTCCTATTCACATAAAGAACTGTCAATGTGCATGTTCAATACATAAGTAGAAACTGTGAAGTAATTAATTGTTTAACAAGAGGATTTAATTACATTCCTGTTTAGAAAGGAGTGTGGTGTTTTCTGAAGATTCCTGAAGACAAAAATTGCTGCATATCTATGCAAAGTTTAAAATTATTTTCCTTTAAGTGCAGACTTTGTAGAGAGAGGATGTTTTTGATATGACCAATATGCGTTTGTATATTTCTGTACTATTCAGAAAGTACAAAAACCAGCTGAGTAACTCCGGGTTATACTATTCAGAACAGTAGAAGTAGGATTTACAAAGGAACTGGGAATATCATTTGGATTTTGAATACCTAATTTCTTTTAGCTTCTTTGTAAATCCTAGCTTTATCATATATGCTACATAAAATTGTATGTTTCCATTATGTTGAAAAAATGAAAAAATTAATGATTGTAGAAAAAAAGTATTCAATGTAGAGTAATGCTTCCGGGAAAGGCTGTATTTTCTTCTGAGTTGGAGTGCATTGTGTACAATGTATTTAATTATATTTTTAAAATTAGATACAATAAAATTATTTCCAGTGTGGGGTTTTTTCACTAGTAGTCCCTGTTCTTTCTCAGCTGAGAAGCTTGCAAGCTGCAAGCCCTCACTTTCCTTGGGAAAATGGTATAGAGTTTTAGTCAGTTGTTTCCACCAAGATTTCTCTGGCAGTACTAACAAATAATTGCTGCTTCTTCACCTCTTTGATCTTAAAAGTTTCTATTCCTCTGGACCAACCCACCTGAAAAAACAAAAGACCCTGCTTTCTTAATTCATGTGGTAATAACATTTAACTCCTATATGGCTCTTCATCTATGGATATCATGGTGGTTTACAATGGATATCATTATTGGTATTGGGTGGGGAATTGGAAACAAGATCTATTTGGCCTAACATCACTCAACAGAAGCATGAAACAAAAGTTTTCTGTATGTCAGTCCAAGTGATTTGTATAGGATGTCACCATGCTTCTTTTGAGTTCACTATTTGGTGTCTCTAAGAAAAGAATGAGGAAGGGAAGACCTCACTAAACATCTGCTCAGTTATACCTGATAACAAGAGGTGCTTGAGAGAATTTTTACTGGAATTCCTGAAAATCATGCAAACATACTCCACTTGAAACTGTAAATTAAGATCTGGAACTAGCCCTGTATGAAAAAAGAAACACATCTTGAGGAAATGTTTACCATGGCCTTTTCCAAAGCAAGAAATAAGGGACATCATATGAAAGTATCGGGAGACATAGTCAAAGCAAGCAAAATGAAGGCCCTCCCATGCAAAACTAATTGAGTTGTTGAACTACTTGCATCAGGGTTTTATACTGAAGCTAAAAATTTACAAGGGCTTCAATGTCAATAAAATTATACCAATAAAAATTATGGAAGATAAATCCATCAAAATACATGAAAACCATGTTCATGTGATTTTCAGTAATTCCAGAAAAATGTATTTAAAAATAATTTCACCATAATGTCTGTTGCTGGGCAGTGGAAAAGAACTTCATGAAGTGTGGTGGAGTCCCCATCCCTGGAGGTGTTTAAGAGTTGGGTTGACATAGCGCTGAGGGATCTGGTGTAGTTGGGAACGGTCGGTGTTAGGTTAATGGTTGGACTGGATGATTCTGTGATTCTGTGAAGCCAAAGCTCTGTGAAGATTAGCCCCTTTGTGTTTATTTCCATACTCTGCAAGACCTGCTGGTGCACATCTGATTTTGGTGCTGATCTTAGCGCTTGCTGATCTTTTGTCTTAGTGAAAAAGCAGGGAACATAATCTAATTCACATGCAAATGAAAGAACTTTTTGAGACAGCTACTCAGACTAGTATCTTTTTCTTCTAACTTAAGTGTCTTGCTTTACCAGCCCTGCAAATTTCTGTATGTCCTGGGCACCCAAGTAAGGAGAGAGCTTTTTTTCTTGGATAAGGAGCAAACAAGTGGTTAATGCTGCAGATCCAAATGATTATCTACGTCATCTGAAGAGAGAGCAAACCAAAATCCTTAAACCCAGGTAGAGCCAGAATTCTCACCATTTTTTCAAGGAATGGAAAATACAAATAGTGATATTTATTTGCAGCTGTTTTCCTTGTGCATCATATTACAAGAGACCCAAAAATGTTCTACAAAGAAAATTAATTCTCCATAATCCTCTCAAAACCTAGACCCTAAGTATGGGATTCATTTTCTCCTTCTTTTGAAAATTATTAGGGTCAATAAGCCTCATAAGCTTACATAGCCAAAACATTGTATTTGGACTCTACCAGAACAAGTACCTCAATACAGAAAGATCTATTTCATCTGAGTCTTCTGCAATTGTCTGCCACTTCTCTGATGAGACTTTAACTCCTTCATGTAAATATTTGCTTGCTAACAAATGAGCCTACAGAGCTGCGATCAGCTCTTGTGCTCCATGGAAGAGGCAGATGACAGTTTACTCTGGGAAAGTGAATGACTCAGTGATGGCAGCAGCACAGCACTTGAGCAACAAGCTGGCTGTGTGGGGACTGCACATAACCCTTCCAATGAAGAAAAACTTTTCAATACTTGGTCCAACAAAAAGCCTTTAGAAAAGATGACTTAAAGGACTTTTGACCTATCTTGCCATCACAGGCCACAAAACAGCTTCATGTAGGGGAATTTCCATCAATTAATTTATTGGCAATTAACTAGCGTTTAATTACTGATTCTGGCATTGAGAAAGCAAACAAGTGTTTAGGGCAGTCCCAGACCTGGTCCCACGCAGGTCGCCTGCAGCTGCTACCAACCCCTGCAAGCTGTACCCAATGCATTCATAAATGGGTGCTCTGTTCCTTTTGCCTATGAGTTAACGTGGAAGCCCTACCACTAGACAAACTTTAAGGAATGGTCTCAAGTTTATATTGAGGAAGCACGTGGTTAAGTACTTGATGTAAAGGCTGGGAACAAAATCCCCAAAATTTGCAGTTTCTGCATTATTTAACTAATTTAAGGCTGCATGGCATTGCATCCCCAACCACTGCTTTGGGATTTTGCATGGGGTGGCAGTCTTTGGCCTGCTTTAGCAGTCCTTGGATGACTGCTCTGGAGACTGGGCTACTTTCTTTGGTTTTAGGTCTTAATGCTTGCTAATCTAGTAGCAGAGGAAAATTAATTCTTAAAATATAAATCATGCCTGTTATAGTGTTGCTTTTTAAGTTTCTACATTTAAAATTACAATATACGGTCCATTTCTACCATTCCTGCTGTTCTGTTCAGAGAAGCTCGTGCATACAAGCCTTGTGAGCCATTAAAAATACAAAATGAATGGTTGCCAGGTCTATTTCCTCCATCCCTCAAGCAGCCTATTTCTGGCTGGTGCTTTCTCTAACACAGATGTGTGGAGAGAGGCAGAAGAAATCTCTATTTGGTACACCAGCTTGTTCCTTTTGATTCAGAGAGTATCAACTTAAATCATGTATTTTAAGAAATGTTTTTTAATACCCTACTCACAGCACTAGTATCTTGTTACTCTGGTCCCTCTGAAATACGAAAACACTTTGAAAATACAAACACACAGACTAGGATGTCTGTCCTTGGATTCTGGTGTGTTTGGTATTTCTTCCATGCCATTTATCACATTCTTGGGTCAGTGGTGTGTCCTTTATCTTACAAATCAGTTTCTAGCTCCCAAAAGCATAAAGTGGGGTGAACAAGGCTCAGGTTATGATTTCTGCCTCAGTTGTGCAATGAAAATGCTGGATCTAGACTCAGCCTAGAGCCTGGGAGCTTGGTGTGTCCCTTGATGCTCTTTGGGGCACCTTTCTTATGGGAAAGACAGGGCCTGGGCTTTGGTGAAATGCTTGAGCTCTGACCTTGAACCTTCAACACTTGCCTACAGACAATGCTGTTACATGCATTGCTACAAGTCATAGGTTGCTATAGCAAAGCAGGATAGGTAGCAATCATGAGTCCAATCTTTAACGACCATGAGATGCCACTCATCTTCTTATGAAATTCAAAGTAAGTAACCTTATCTGTTCCTTTTTGTACATTGTACTGAAATGGGTATTTTGAGTTACCAAGGAAAATGTTTCCAGAGAAAAATAACAGAAACAGAGAAACATGCAGGTGTTGTCAGTTTATCCCTATAAAAGCTTCTGGAGTGACTGGACCAGGATGGGAGAATGGTGATTATCACTTTAGATAAAACCAATGTCTGCTGAATACCTCATTACTCTCCTAAAATTATCAGGCATACTCTGGTAAAAATTTTCGGTCTTCTTACATTTTAAATGGTGGTAGGTACAGTTTACTGCATTTTAGAAAGGGATTTTTAGTACATTTTTTTTAGGGTGAAAACAGAACCTAAGATGAGTAATGAGAAAAGGAGGGGGAAAACCCCTAAAATCTTAAATTAGATTTTATGATTTAAAAAACAAACAAAAAAAAAGAACTGTAATTACTTCACAGGTGCTCCTGAAATTATACCACTGCTAATCTTTCTGCAAACTTTGCTAAAAAGGTTGCCAAATATCTTTGAAGGTGTTTCTTAATCTTTTGAAAGTATTTTAGAGGTTTTACCATTCAACATTTCTGATATGATATAAACAAATGAAAACAGAAGTATCAGCATTTTCAGTAAAAAAAAAAAATTCATCTAGTGTGAGATATTTTTGTAAAGAGAATAAAAAGGCTGATATTCCAAAGAAAATTTTTTACTCTATCACAAATGTTGAATTCTGTCTCTGCAATAAACATATTTGGGTTTACTACTTATTTAATCTTTGCCTCACTAATGGAAGAGGAGAGGGGTTCTCATACAGTCTTTCTTGCTATAAAAGGATTAAAAATACTTATCTTGATTATGGTTTATGAATATTTTAAAAATCCCTTTTCAGTGGAACTGGGCTCAGATGTTGCATGTTACAAATTTAGTGAACTGATTCTGTTTTGGGGAACAGTATCAGCTCGACATTTGCAAGATGATATTGCAACAAAGCTAAACATAAAAGATATAAAAGGCGGTACTATTCTGAACTAGACCTACAAACATCCAGAAAATCCACTTAATCCGTTTTTCTTGTACTAAGGTAGTCGTTCTGTATCCGCGTGCTTCCTAATATGGCCTCTAGATGGCAAACGTTCACAAAAAATGTATCCAGTGCTGGCTCCTGACGGCAGCCGGGGCGAGGTTCCCCAGCCCGGACTTCTGATTCCTGCAACCTCTGAAATACTGTCAGATGGACCTGTCATTGATATCTCAACATGTGAAATATATTGGCTATTTTACAGCCATTATGGGCAGTGTCACAAGGGTGAGTCCCTAAAATATAACAACTTTTGTGTATGTGTGTACATGTGCATGCATATGTGTATACACATACATAAATATGAAAGCTTCAGAGTTGTGCAGAGGTTCAAAGTTGCTTAAAAGCTCTAGCCCTTTCAAAAATCTTCACTATGTACTCTAAAATGTCAAAATCAAAGTTAGAGCATCTGTCAGTAGTAACTTCTCACACTA